ATAACATTAATAAAAGGAAATTAATGTACTATTTTACCCTGGTACTGAGAATAGGAGAGGCTAAGGTATCTTTCCTACCATAACAAGAAAGCCTATGTTAGTAAATATTAATATTGGAAATGAACATACTCTGTGATCCAGCAATTACTGGGTCCCAGTCTTAGCATTACCCTTATTGTAAAAGAAAGCATGTACAGGGCTTCCCTGGTGGCGCAGTGGTTGAGAATCTGCCTGCCAATGCAGGGGACACGGGTTCGAGCCCTGGTCTGGGAGGATCCCACATGCCGCGGAGCAACTAGGCCCATGGGCCACAACTACTGAGCTCTGCGCGTCTGGAGCCTGTGCTATGCAACAAGAGAGGCCGTGATAGTGAGAGGCCCGCGCACCGCGATGAAGAGTGGCCCCCGCTTGCCACAACTAGAGATAGCCCTCGCACAGAAAAGAAGACCCAACACAGAAAACATAAATTAATTAATTAATAAACTCCTACCCCCAACATCTTCTTTAAAAAAAAAAAAAAGAAAAGAAAAAGAAAACATGTACAAGGACTGCAGCAATTTGGGGTCATAACAAGCTGTAAATAACATAATAATACAGCAAAAAGTGATACAATAAATTGTGTTAAGTCTATATTCCATACAGTTGAAAATAATGAAGTGAATGTATACATAATAACAGAAAAAGAGCTCCAAAATGCCTTACTGAGTGGGAACAGCAAGTTGCAGAACAACGTAGAGTATGATGCCATTTACGTTAGTAAAAATACTTGTACAATATAAACCCTGAATATTCACAGTAAGAGGACTGTACGTACAATGACAAATTCCCTATTAATAGCAACCTCTGTAAGGGAAATTACACATAAGGGAGGGGGACAGTCAGTGGAGATTTTGGGGTTAATTGCAATGCTTTAATTTTTATAACAAGAATGTATGGAGGCTTCCGGGAAGATGGCGGAAGAGTAAGACGCGGAGATCATCTTCCTCCCCACAGATACACCAGAAATACATCTACACGTGGAACAACTCCTACAGAACACCTACTGAACGCTGGCAGAAGACCTCAGACCTCCCAAAAGGCAAGAAACCCCCCACGTACCTGGGTAGGCCAAAAGAATAAACAGAGACAAAAGGATAGGGATGGGCCCTGCACCAGTGGGAGGGAGCTGTGAAGGAGGAAAGGCTTCCACACACTAGGGAGCCCCTTCGCGGGCTGAGGCTGCGGGTGGCGGAGGGGGAAGGCTTCGGAGCCGCAGAGGAAAGCACAGCAACAGGGGTGCGGAGGGAAAAGCGGAAAGATTCCCGCACAGAATATCAGGGCCGACCGGCACTCACCAGGCCAAGAGGCTTGTCTGCTAAACCGGGGCTGGGAGTTGAGGCTCGGGCTTCGGTCAGAGCGCCGGGAGAGGACTGGGGTTGGCGGAGTGAACACAGCCTGCAGGGGGTTAGTGCGCCACCGCTAGCCGGGAGGGAGTCCGGGGAAAAGTCTGGACCTGCCGAAGAGGCAAGAGACTTTTTCTTCCCTCTTTGTTTCCTGGTGCGCGAGGAGAGGGGATTAAGAGCGCTGCTTAAAGGAGCTCCAGAGACGGGCGCGAGCCGCGGCTAAAAGCGCGGACTCCAGAGACGGGCATGAGACGCTAAGGCTGCTGCTGCCGCCACCAAGAAGCCTGTGTGCGAGCACAGGTCACTATCCACACCCCCCTTCCGGGCAGCCTGTGCAGCCCGCCTTTGCCAGGGTCCCGGGATCCAGGGACAACTACCCCGGAAGAACGCGCTGCGCGCCTCAGGCTGGTGCAACGTCACGCCTTCACGCTGGCCTCTGCCGCCGCAGGCCCGCCCCGCACTCCGTGCCCCTCCCTCCGCCCCGCCTGAGTGAGCCAGAGCCCCCAGGCAGCTGCTCCTTTTAACCCTGTCCTGTCTGAGCGAAGAACAGACGCCCTCCTGCGACCTACACGCAGAGGCAGGGCCGAATCCAAAGCTGAGCCCCTGGGAGCTGTGAGAACAAAGAAGAGAAAGGGAAATCTCTCCAGAAGCCTCAGAAGCAGCGGATTAAAGCTCCACAATCAACTTGATATACCCTGCATCTGTGGAATACATGAATAGACAACGAATCATCCCAAATTAAGGAGGTGAACTTTGAGAGGAACATTTATGGTTTTTCCGCCTTTTCCTCTTTTTGTGAGTGTGTATGTGTATGCTTCTGTGTGCTT